GGCCTTGGACCACTTGTGTGTCAAGCGACGGTCGTTCGCCCGGCGCGCGCGTCTATTTTTATACGTGCAATGTTTGTTGTTTACATAGGACTGGAGTATGAGTGGTGGAGCGATTAGAGTGGAACAACTCTAGCAGACGCATTTTGACAGCTGTAAAAACGCTACGCTATAGCATGTTGTCCATTTTCCGATATCGATGTTTGTTCAAGTAGGAATCTTATACGATTTAAATTTGATGTGTCTCTACCACAGAAGAGTAGTAGCGTTCACTGATTTCGCAAAAACCTGACCTGTATTTTGTGCTCACTGGAAGATGGTTGACTCCTCGTTTAAAACAAATATTTGTTTATTTTTCAAAACACTCAAAATTTTACACAATAGCAACTTGAAAAGACCTAGATCTCTGTATCGGGGTTAAAGAAATGCAAACATATTTAAGTGGTATTTTTATTTACATTATTTTGGTCAACAACGGACAGCTGCGCTGAATTTTTAACGTTTAAAAACGGAACGTTCATTTCATGTTGTTGTGACAAAATTATCACCGATTCGTAATTCAGCTTAATGGGTCCCGTTTAGGGACCGTTTTCTTTCGTCCAAGAAAAGAATGGTTGTTTTTTTTGTTATTTATTAGTGGCACTGCAGACTGCGCTTATTTAAGTGTCTCGTCGATTGAATAATTGTCTCCCAGACTCTTGCGAATGTGTATTCAAGAGATGAAGTGACCGGGCCACGTCAATTTTCATACAATTTTTGCTTGTCATTTTATTCAAGGCGCTCATCGTGTGAGTAAACAAACTCGGCGAAGGTATTTCGCACTCAATGTGTATTTAAGCGAGTTATTCTTGAAAGAAAAGCCGTTGTCCTTATTATGGATTACACAAACGGAGATCAATATTTATTTTTATTTTTGAACTCGTTGTTTTTGTGTCAGATTTTATCCAGCCTTATTTTGGCTCGACTATAATATTAAGTTAAAGACCGTTGTATTGAAATTGAACTTCTTATATCCGAGGACATAATATTTATCGAACACTATATATCGGTTCGAGATATCGGTTAAACAAGAAGATATTCCTAGAATTCGATATTGATAGAAAATATCATTTACTATGTCTTCTGTCTATAAGAAATATTAAACTAGAATACACTATTTAAAGATCAGGCTACCGGTGACCCGTCACGTAGGCACATTATAACAAATCTACAAACAAAGTCATCTCTTAGTCATCTCACGTTCTTTTCCACGACAATATTATCCTCTCAGTGCAAGGTCATATTGTTTCAATACCTATTTTTTTAAGTACGTATATATATATGTGATTGTGAGTGATAAAAAAATCCCTTAAGTAAGAAAATTATTTTGGCAAAAGAAATATACAGCTACGTATTTGTTGATGCCGAACAGGAATCTGAAAATGCTTTAGTCGTGTCTTCGTCAAATACCGGCAAAAAAATCTAACTGTGTGTCGTCCATCATAGATACGATACATACATCACACAAAACCCTTGAGCGTAAACGTTTGTAAAAAACGGCCATTTACACCACGTCTGACAACAGGTTGTCAGCCTGTCGCCTAAAATTGCAATGCACATCAACTCTCAAATCTCTTAGTCGCTTCTTACGCCACCAACGGAAAATATATGGGGTGATGCTATTCTACGCCGGCACCACAAGGCACTACGCCGCGCCGTAGCTACATAACAGTATTCCCTAGACTTGATCTTGGCATTCAGTTACCTGTGCAAAGGTGTAGTAGAAGGTACCCATAGTATATCTAGCCGCACTTAGTCATACTAAATAAACTGTGATAATGATAACAGGTAAGACAACGCCTTGGAACTTTGATAAATGATAGCAAATCCCTACTACGTGCCAGCCAACACAACCCTCTTTGAGGGATCAACTAACATTGGTTATTGCTAATAACTGTATGAAATAACCAGTATAAATTGAACCCTTATAGACTAAAAAGCCCTGCATGCTATTAAAACATTCCTGACTTATCTGTCGCGTAAATAAAAGACACCATTGTCTACTTGTTTGGACAACAATGATCATAAAACATATTAGACCACGCTAACAAAGTTGGCGTAGTCATGATGCCCTGATGAACGCCATACGAAACATTCCATCGAATTAGCAAAAGAGATTTATTTTGTTGGTTCGTAAATTTCGTTTAAGTCCTTCTCGAAGTGTGTCTCAGTTTCTTGGTTTTCTTGATGGCCCCATGGTTCAGTTTTTTGGGTAAAATTACCCACCTAGTAAAGTTTGCTTGCTGACTAGAGAATAACACAGTCTTACAGTTACAGCTGTTTGAAACTGGAAAACCTTTGTTTAAATTTGAGGTTTACTTTTTACTATGTGTAGTCTAAAGATTAACAAGTCTTGTAGGTACAGGACCATCGCGTGACAAAGCCCCGTTTGTAATAGGGAAAACCATAATATACCTTACCCCCAATATGTTCTACAAATCAACAACAACCTAACCGACTTTCTCGCTGTAAACAAGATCTAGATATCTGGAAAATAAATTGTCCAACAAGTAACCAATAAAAATTGTTGCAGAGAAATATTATGACTGCTTCTTAGTAACTTGAAAGTAGACTTTCTATTGATAACGGTGGTCTAGAAAGAGTTTTATAGGGCTCTTTTGCTGGAAAAATAATCTTATCACCTCAAAGAAAACATTGATAAGAATTTGAGCAGGTTGCAGCTGTCTTGATCGAGTATTTTAAAAAGAAATGTATAACAATAATTTGTAGGTACTTATCATCATTATAAGAGTTTATTTAAATAGATGATGATGTCTATAAAAGTAAATGATATATTGTTTGTGCTTTCCTCTTTAAATTTCGAAAGAAAGAAATACTTACCAAGGCGAAATATATTTTTAATACTTATTATTTTATTTACACACACTATCTGTGATTTTATGTCCCGACCACTATTTTAAGCTACAAAAACATTTCCATTCGTTATCGCCACTTCAATGGAACATTGAGTTGAATTGTACAAAGGATACAAAGAGTTGCTTGTAGTCCTACAACGGATTACAAAGACTAAATGCAAGATTGTATCAACTTTGTAAACATCTCTGCAAAACGAGAAGAGGTCAGATGTTCGTTGCTTTTGACGGTTATCTATCTTAACTACGCACGTGTAAAAATCACGCGTGTTTACTTTGCCGGTATGGCAGAGCTTTTAAGAGACTTTTAAGTCTCATCTCTACTCACTGTTGCTCTTTGCCTGTTAAGGTGTACACTAGTTTTTTGGTTTGATAGGGACGAGATTGTATAAAAAATTTGGAAATGTTGATAGTGTTTGCAGCTTGCAATTTGAAAGCCGTACGTGAGTTTCACTTGAGTAAAAAAATTGGTTTTTACCTTTTTTTATAGATATGTCTACGGATGGCTTTGTATAATCCGATCATCGTCGACATAGACAATAATCGGAATATGATCCAGTTTTGATTCACCAAATCTTAAAGTGTCCGTCAATCAGGGCGAAGAAATGGGCCATTCAAAAGTATACCAGTAATGTCAAGTTATTTCTGGCTACGAGGAACACTTGATCCGGATAACCGGCTTCAGGGTCAAGTGGATCTTCTGGTAAACATCAGAACGATGGCTATCATTGAGGTGTTGGATTTTACTTTGAATTCCTGCTGAGATTAGTTCGCAAAATGAAAGCTGGGCATTGCCTAGAATAGTGTTAGAAAGAAATAGCTAAAACCGATCTGTTGCTGTCTATGATAGCGGTCGTTACACAACCATGTCAGAGGCCTGCTACTTGCAGTGGTAGGCGGTTGAAAAACTCTGACATCAGGGTTCATCGGGTCGTTGAACGACTCGGTAACCCACACGAAGAGAGAGAGAGCCAAAATGTATGACATGAAAGGCAGGAAACCTTAACAGCCACAACAGTCCACTGCTGAAAACGGGCCTCCCCCTATGGGGGGTTGTTGCCATACTCACCACGCTTGTCAGGTCAGGTGTATTGGCGAACACAGTAACTACAAGATGTAGCATTTACAGGATTCCCTTAATGATTATTCCTAAGTCGATTCACGAGACCCATGGGATATATTGGGGTGATGCTATCCTAAGCCGGCATCACGCTGCAAAAGGCAACCATCGTTGAACCATCCTTGAACCCACATTAGCCCTACACATCTCATCCATACTTGGAACACATCTAACAAAATACCTACCGAGTAGATGCGAATCCTTCAAAACGTTTGCGGAGCAGTTGAGCTCGTTAACTTGATGTTTGATCTTGAGCTGATAGCGTCTACTGAGTATACGTAGACGTGTGTGCGCTAAAGACCTCTTCTTATCAGAGTACCTCAGGCAGAGGATTTTGCTTTTCGAGATGATGTATGTATGTATCTATATGGGTATGTTTGTATGGGACAAGTTTTTTTTAAGGGGTTACTTAAACGGATGGTTGTATCTTGACATAGGATGTCGTTAGATTCGTCTCAGCTGCGCGAGTGACACCGGCTATATTAAAAATGCCATTTTGAAATGGCGGATTTTAAACGCAAATTATAACTTTTTGAATAAAGCAGCCGGGTTTTTGATATTTATACATCTGTTTCTTCTGAAGATTTCTTACTAGGAGATTAAAAATATACCTATAATAACTACTATATATACTATTTACTGATCTGGTTGATAAAAAGTAAGAAAGGTGCATAGCATTGCAATTTTTATGTAACTACTAGCTTATGGGACGAAATCACTAAATTATGTGAAATATTTTAAGTGTAGACAAAATTAATATGGGTCGGGTGTGTAAATTAATAAACAGACTGTAAAGCGAGAACCACGGTGAGTCTAAATAAGATAATTTACAAAGTTATTTCAGGAGAGAGCTAAAATAAACGCCCGTGGTATGACTTATGTCCTTCGTGTGTGCATCTTCTGAAATTGGGGTTTCGAATGTAGAATACATCCGACAAAGTAGCATTATTTTAAACTTAACCATGTAGATGCACCGCAGGCAGGATTTGAACCTGCGACCTTCGGCATTCGGCATCTGTACTGACGACGCCACTAACTACTGCGCTACCGCGGTTCTATCCTACCTACTTACTTAGCCTGCAAATTGACAAGAGGCGCGGAACGAATGCACCGCATGATTCTACGGTGTTTTGCCGATCCGGTATTTTGACAACAGGAGTACAAAATCGCATTACATGTCGCCACGTCAAATTGTGACTATCACAAGCTTTCATTTGCTTGTTGGCTGTCAAAAACCGCAATGTTGTGCGGTGTCTGATCTGCGGAATATGGATAGCAAAATTACAATGGCTAGGCAATATACTTCCACTTTTCTATACCAACTATTACTACAGTTTAACGTCTGTTTATCCTAAACGATTTTCATAAATCTGTTCTCAAATAGTTTACGAAATCCCAGCTTACAAGATTAAGAAACTCATAACGCAAACTTGTAAGTCTGTAAGCAAGATTGATAGCATGTCTGGCTAACATTTTACCGCCATTAGAACAACTTCTTCTATTTATGGTGTCCTGTCTGCCTGTTGGTTGCATGACTGGTCTCTCTGTATGGCATATCGAACCTTCCATACGAATGGACTGACATAGATGTTGGTGGTTTGAGATGTGACTTGAGAGTTGATATTATCTACAAATCCGCGAATATAGAAGTTCTTGGGTCGAATCCCGGGGAAGATATTGGATTGTATACTAACGGTTCTGGAAACTTTATACAATGCAACATTCCCATCCAACTCAAAATCGTAGTTTTCAGTTATGATGTAGTTAGTTAATATTCCAAAAGAGTGTGGTCTTTTAGCTAGTTTTTCTCGGATATAAATTCTCTTTGGATGCTAACATAACGAACTACAATACGTTAACCCTTTTAAAGAAGTTTTGTTATGTCAAAGTAGGCTGCTCCTTTTTGAAATTTTAGCACTTGCCTACAGTTACAGTGCTTTACAATAGGTATTCTTTTTTCAAAAATCAAGCCGCTATAACAATTCCATTTTCAAATCACGGCCGCTAAGGCTGGCTGGTTTGCACATTTGAAAAAGCTGCAGCCTCGTGCTAATCCGCGAGGGAAGCCTTGGTCGAGGCGTCGGGTTGCAGGTATCCAGTTACACGGACAAACGATCATCTCTTCCTACGTGAGGCTATGTTTATATCCTGAGCTATTGCTTGTGAATAAACACGTTTACTTTGTACCTATGTGTCTAACGTTAGAATTCTTTTGAGTTTTTTTAAGCTAAGTACATGTAAGTAGATACATACCAAACGAACACTCAAAGACAGAAAATCAAATTTTTTGAAAACTTGCAAAAGTTTCCACCACGGGCCGGATTTGAACTTGCGGTCTTCAGCATCTGTACTGCCGACGCAGAAAACCGATTTAAGTTGTAAACATTCCTTCTGCGAATATCCAATAATAACTTTAAGAACATGCCTCAAAGACACACCTACAAAACGAACGATGACTGAAATGGCTGAAATGTAATAGGGCAGTAGCGAAAATCCATTAATAGCTTCCGACAGTAATTCCATAGACAATATTTCACTATTTCAGATGGCGAGAATTCGCTACTTATAGTTACTTGCAAATGACTATGCGACTATGCGTTACGATTAGTGTTGCCCAACTATCGATAGGCCAATCGATAGTATATAGTTTAAACTGTAGCAAGACTATCGTCAAGTGCAATACTATCGATTGTATGTTTTGTAGTAAATCTGTACTTCAGATAGTTTTTCCAACATACATGCATATATATATCACGCCTACATCCCTTGCGGGGTAGGCAAAGCGTAAACGGCTGTAAATCGGCCATTTACACCACTTCTGACAAAATTGCAATACACATCAACTTACGACACCCACGCAAGATACCCAAGATACGCAAGACCCACGGGCAAGATATGGAGTGATGCTATTCTAAGCCAGCACCACACGGCACATCGATAGTTTTTCAATCCTGAGAAACTGTACTATCGATAGTATCAGTTGTATTGCTGCATTTTTAACTATTATCGATAGTTTATCGATAGTCCACTATCGAACAGCAACACTAGTAACGATGGCGATTGCAAATTATTACCTAGTAGCTGTTCTAATAAATTGCAAGGCGAGTCGGGTAAACTTGTATAGCCTAATTGTACAGCGATTTCTCGACACAATTTAAAGGGGTACAGGTTTTGGATGTTGGTGCTCTAATTCGCACGGACTTTAAAGGGCTATCTTTAGCATTTAAAATTGCTACAACGCTACGGCACCCAAGGGTTACTTTATGGTGAGGTAGCTTGGAATTCCTGGTAAGATTTGTTGAGAAATATAGCCATGCCAAGTTCTTATGTGCTGACCCTAGACCATAGCAATTCACGAATAGGCACATATTCTTTGCTAGACTTCTTTCTGTTTTGTCGTGGATAGGCCAAAGATTTCTGCCACGAATCCGTCTTGATATGGTTATAAGATTTCATGTTTCTTCATCTGACCACCCTGAGCCAATATTAGATCAAAAGACTCGCCTGTCTTAAATATTACCTACTCAAGTGTAAATAATGTAATTAACTGTGCTTACGATTCAGTAAATACGTAAGACGAAATAATAGCGACAGAACTGTGATGCTAATGTCTATATTTGCGCTCAATTGCATTCGCTTATCCCATGTCACATGTAGTTAGTGTGGAAATTCTCGGTAGGCCGACAGGAACTGAGATCGTTTCAGACTACCATTGCCCACGGTCCATATCATGCTGTCATTCCCTCATAACGCGTCCGTACAAATGTATCTAGATTTTCTCAGCCGACCGTAAATGGCAAGAAATGAGAAAGTAGCCGGCTAATAGATACAATAGGGCTGGATGCCTGGTAGGTGGCTCGGCACCGGGGCAACTTTCTTTACCGGCAAAAAGTTACGCGTCGATCTAGTCTACACTTCTTTTGAGATATCGATCGTTTCGTAAGTGTGTAATTACTGCACCGCATCGCGATAAATGAACGTTTAGATGGTAGCCCTTTAATCATTCTACTCGCGTGAAGCAAGCGACTACTGTTTCGAGCTTAGCCCAGCGCTTGGATACAGCTTTCGACACAACTCGGTCCTCTAAAAGGCGAAACGACGTGCGAACTTTATCCGACGACTTGCAACATTTTGGTATTACTGATCAAGTTTTTTTTGCGATCCGAAGTATCCACTTGCAGGCCCGTGTCGCCTTAAAAGGGCTCCAGTTCGGAGCCGGTTTTTGTAAGCATCGTATTCAATTCAATCTTGATAAACGCGCCTTGTTTACGTGTATTTCGCAGTGGCTCCCATAATTTAAACAGCGATGTGGAAACTGTTTTATGGGTTTGGAACTATCGTAAAACTTCCGCGATAGTTGCCAGTGATATTGCGGTAGTTTGCGTTGATAAGGTGACATCACCGTATCATCCACATAGGAGTAAACAAGCGTATGGAAGGTGAATAGAAACTGCGCGGTGTGTGCATTATCTATGCGCGCCGCGGCCCACACGCGGTCGCGTCGCCGCCGCCATTGCTGCGCGCGCCGGCGCATCGCCCACGCGCACGCGCAAGATACATGAACCCGCTTCACGCCTATTATCAATGCCACTTCCTCTCCATTAATTTCATGCTTCTAATGCAAAACCTTCCCTGTGACTAATTGCCGTAATCCTTCCCCGAAGGCAAGCTATAATTTCAAATTCAATAATGTTTAAGCAGCCTTCCAGAAAAGGCATAACAACTTCATCAGACTCGGCTCTAACGATTTAATGTGTTCCAATGTAACAAACATGATTAGATTTCATAGAAACAACAGAGTTGTAGCCGCTAGAATAGAACTAGAGCGGTCATTGAACTCGATAGGTGAACTACCTAGCTACTGTTATTATCTCGGTAACTGCAGTAATAATGTTTGGAAAACATGGCTTGATTTCGAGCCAAAATTGCCTCGTTTATTAATGCATTAATATGCAATACGGCGTTCCCGGTATGCTGATTAGTTAACCGGAGAGATCTTGTGAAATATCGAAACCCGTAAAATTTGGAAGACGTGTGTGGCTGGGTGGCGATGACAAAAATATGTTTTCAACTTCTTCAATTAGGCACAGATTCGTTTCAAAATTTACCATGTCTATTCTTGAAAATAAATTCGTCTTGTTTCTTGACAAAGAATGATTATTTGATGAACATATTATGTTCAACAAAACATACTACTGTACACATTTACTTGAAATACCTGTAGTATTACATAATAACCTCGCAGTGAAGTACCAGGCGTGCATAGGTGAGCGACAAGTCGCGAGATCGTGAGCTCTTGGTGTTAACCCTGAAGTCGGCCGAGAGGTTGACGACCGGCTGTCCCACTTGCAATGCACGCTGCAACCGCTTGCAAATCTCTATCGGCTAGAATCGTATTCGTTACTTTAGAACGACATTCGTTACATACCAATTATACCTGCCTGCCTGTCTCTCCTAAGTGACTAAAATGTGTGATAGGTAAAATTAATAAAATTGCGATAAAAATAATTGTTTTTAAATTTTCTCTACTGCAATCAAATAGTGCATTTTAAAACAGAATTTACTTTCGGAAGTCTGAAGGGAAGTAGAAAGTAACATACCTACTCGTTGAAGGGCCATCATTTATTTTATGAGTAAATACACCACCTGTTACTATTACGTAATTACATACAATCTCTCTAATACCTATCTATTTATCTCCAGTTTATCTACAAGTTTCCTTATAGAGATCAATTTATTCTTAGCTTTAATAACATACAGCAAATGATTCACATAATGTAGACCTAATTGCGAAGGCGTGGTCTAGTCATATTACTGCTAAGCAATATTATAATCTTGTATGATAGTTTCACGAGCGAAACATTGTAAGTTAATTTGCAACGTTTTAAAACGATAATATTTTTTTTTAGTTTTTAAGAAACTAATCAGTATTTAATGATTGATCAAAAATAAAATATTAATCTAAGATTAAACCGTACATCATTTTGGTGAAGATTAATTATGGTAAATGTTTAAATAATGATTTGCTTTTTCTTTTGGTGTGGGACAATGAGT